TCTCGTTACACCAAATGCACTCAAATTCCTCAGCTCTGGGGATACGTAGATGTCCATCCAACTGGGTATCCTATCTGGGTATTCATCTCGATACCCAAGTTGTGGATATTATGACATCCCTCGGGAGGCTTGACCCCCACAGCCCCCACTAATCGGAGTCCATGGTTGTAGTGAATATATATTCTTACCCTTTACTGTATCGGAGCAATATTTCCATTTTTTTTCACAGCTACAACAACAAGTAATTTATTTTATTCTTGGTAGTCATCTGTTAAGAAACATGAGATATAAATATTTTATTTTAATTTTATGTTGTAGACAACTGTTAAAAGGGTTAATCAGTTGATATTGGATGATAAGGGTTTTGCCGAAAATACCGAATTCGTTGTTTTAGCATCAGATTTTATCTTAAATGCGAATTATTATGTTTAACCGACTAATAAATTTCATGTTCTCCAGCTAAATCATCAGTCGTTATTGAATCAGAAATAAAACTATACAACTACGTGAGTCAGTTACAAAGTTGCGAAATCTTCTATTTTTTAGACTTTTAACTGTCGATTTTTTTAAGCATAGAGTTAATTTTCAGCACTTTTTTTGATTTTTCAGACTTACGCTATCTGAAATCTGTGTCACATTTTCAATGACAAAGACAAAAGAAAAAAGAGAACCATCATAAAATTTGATAATATCCTATTTCAAGAGCTTGTATAACTGTGTTATAAAAAGAAAAACGAAAGTTCACTATGTAAAAATTGTTTATTGTCGTTGCAAGAGAATGAGATTATTCATATATAAAACGCATTGGATGAAAATATTTATCACAACTGATAAATATTCACTGATTCTATTTTAGTGAAAAATAAGTCAAATCGAAAACTACTGCACTATCATCTATGATAATAACTAGAGTTTGTCAAAATTCAATAGAAATGATTATTGAAACGATCAGGTTGTTCAGTTTTTGAGATAATGTGTGAAAAGAACATTTGAATTTTCAAAAAGTAAATTCGGATATGTATGAATAAAATCATCGTTATGTTATTGTATATATTACACTATGACCAATCAAGAGATATTCTAATAAACGTTTATTCACGTATTATATTACATGAGTAGAGATGTTAAACAAAACAAACAAAAAAGTGAACAAGAAAAAAATCATTTTATCAGTCATAAGTTTATTTATCGCCCAATGAGACAACAGAAATAAACCTATCATTGTTTTTATTTATTGACGAGATAGGTCAAATAGAATAGTTGAGCATATCTATATAAATATTGATATTTCTATGTTACAAACAACTCATAAATGAGGATAAACATGAAATGTTCATCTATTCGATTGACTGATTTACCTGATGAAATTCTTATGATTATTTTTAAAAAATTAGACAATATTACATTACTTTACTCTTTATCAGGTGTTAATAGAAATTTAAATAAACTAATATATGATTTTATGTTTACGAATCGTTTGACTTTGCTACACTGTGTACCAATTCGTTTGATTAAACTAACATCTTTGTCAATTAATTATTTTTTTCCATTACCTGATCTGATACTTAATCGTTTTTGTTTGCATATTTTACCTGAAATTCATCAAAAAGTCAAATGGCTTGATCTTGAACAATTATCAATGGAACGTATTCTTTGTACTACATATTATCCTAATTTATCTGGAATTGGTTTATATAATATTGATATAGAAAGAGCTATAAATATTTTTTCTGGTAAGATATTTGACTTCAATCCTTTCACTGATAAATATAGTATAGCTATATATCATGTGAATTCATTTGAATCAACTTATAACTGCTATGAAAGAAATCGTTTATTCACAGAGAACATAAAAATTTCTAAAAGAAAATATCAAAATAAGCGTTGATATTATGTATTCAATTTAAACTTTTAAGAATACATTTGTGAGAAGAAAATGTGCAATAAAATAGATGAGAAGAATTGATGATTATGATAAAGTATAACATCTATGATAATGTAATTTGTTGAATAGTGTTAAAGAAAAAGATCATCACATATGTAAATTTCAGTATTTAAAAAAAAATACTTGTCCTATATTTAAACAATAATATAAGCTTTAAGAAAACATTCGCAATGATGTTTTAATCTTTTCGTCCTTTAGATGAATGTTTCTTCACTTGTACTTACAAAAATCAAATTTCATCGCTTATTATCGATATTAATACAAATGGAGAACAAAGTCTAACAGGCAATGAAAATACACTTTTATTCACGCGTATATTTACTACATTTACTAATTTACGAATATTAAATATTGGCCCATCTTCAATTTTTTATCAACATTTATCCTTCGATCTTTCACCTCCAACTGTTATTTCTTCGACTTTATTAGACTTACATGTTTGTTTGAGTAGATTTCATGATTGTCTTCATTTGCTTGATGGACGTTTCGATCAGCTTCGTATATTCCATGTTAAGATTGATTTTATTGAACTTTCGAGTTTAATATTCAATAATAAGGTAGATTATTTTAATTTATCCAAAAAATTATTAATTGTTATCTTATTTAGGAAAAATTATCTAATTTAAGATCGTTTACGCTTTTTTGTGATGATACAACAGATGGTTATTATCAATTAATTTTACCACTATTACATCGAATGCCGAGTTTAGAAGAACTTGATTTATCTCTTCTTGTTTGGACGGATAACACATTTATTGACGGTAATAATTTGAAATTCAATATTATTCATCATATGCCATTATTAAAAAAATTTACATTTAATATTCATTCATCCACTCATTTTTATAATCAAGATAATTTACCGTCTAATGAATATATTCAAGAAACATTAAAAAATTTTGAAAATAAACAAATCATTTCTTCTATCGATTATTTTCATGAAAATAAATACAGTCAATGTCATATTTATTCATATCCGTATAAATTGAAGAATTACTATAATATAACAAATAATTTTTGAGGTGGAATATTTAACTCGGTTCGTCGAGTGTCACTAATTGATGAACGTTCTTTTGAACATGAATTTTTTCTTCGAATTACTCAATCCTTTCCATTTATGGAAAAATTAACTTTAATAAATAATAAGCGACAAAATAATAAACAATTTAGAAAATCGAAAAATATAAATCAAGATTTGCCAATCATTGAATATCCTTATCTTATTGAACTTGATCTTTCTAAAGCTCAGAAAGATTATTATGAACAATTTTTATTTTACACCAAAACATGTTTACCAAATGATATCCGTGTTAATATGGACTATCGATTAGTGAAAAATGTTACACGAAACTTTAGAAGACCTACAACACGAAGTAATTGTGCCAAAATGGTTTTCATATATTTTCTGAACAAATCAAAATTTCCGGATCATCTCAAGGACTTTTTTCCTCGTACGCTAATATGTTGATTATTATCAATTACTATTAAAATAAAATATAGACAAAAACAGATGGATTTACATTGAATTTTAATATTAGAGAGAGTGAAGGAATAGAAATGATTGAGAACGATAAATAGTTCGAAATAGTTACTGGAGAACATTAATTGTTACAAATAAAAATATTCTTATCTACTGATGCATATACGTGAGAAGTAATTGAAATGAAATTAAAATTTTATAAAAATACAATTTTACTTACGTAGTGGGTCTTGTTGAAGGAAATCTAAATGAAAAATATAATTTTATTGTCGTCAGTCTAGGATCAGATGTATCGATTTTCGATACATGTTACTTGTTTCAATAATGACAGTATAGCTCCAACTGAATAAATCATTTATTTAGTTTTTTCTGTATATTCAGATTGATAGCAGAACATCAATTTGAGAGAAAAAGACAATGGAAGAATTTGATAAGATAAATAACAAGGATAATAATGACGAAAAAAAATCTAGTGTTTCAATAGATGTATGTGTATAAGTATCACATAATAAGAGATAGAAAGAAGAAAGTGAATCATAGAATAAAGACATTCTCTTATATGTGTATATATAGGGAAAAAGAGATATTTAAGGATTGTAATCGTTCTGTTTTTTTTGCATTTAATTCTTGCTCAGATTGTTGAGGATAATAAAGAGATTCTTCGTATATTGGTTGTTGGGATCGTATTAGTTGAAATGAATCAAACTTAAGACTAAATGCAACATTTATTTGAGGTGGTATATTTGTTTGATGCGATGATCCTTGTTGTGGACTAGTAATCCATTCAGCAGGCGTTCCATAAGCATAACCAGTTGGTATAACGCTATTCCATGTATATTGGGGTGCAAGTGGTGGAGTGCTACCGTAATCAGCACCCAATGCAACCGATGTTAATGTTGATCGATTAGTATTATTTGAAGTACCAGTTGATGAAGTTTGTTCAGAGGGAATTGTAACGATTCTGGATTTTATTATCCAAAAGAATGGTCTCTCTCTTCTCTCACGTCCACTCTTTATATATCGATCGTGGAACGAGCGAAGGAGAGAGAATATCTTGTACAGAGAAAGGAAACAGAACACATTGAATATGAGCAAGAACGGTCGAGACATAAGATAAACTCATTAGTGATATATGCTTCTATAGTGCATACGATTACATTGAGTATGATGTGTGATAGACGCACGATACGGTAATTAACATTAGGTGAATATATAAGAAGAGAGAGTAACATGTTAGCTAACAACAAATGATATGATAAGTAAGAACAGCAAACAGAAACAACCATTCCACACAACGGTGACAGTAGATAGTGATGCGTACACGTTCAACCAGGGTTGTCACAGGAATATTTTGTCCATTACCATAGCAACGTTGTTGATCTGCTGACTGATATTGAAGATGTTGTGATTGAAGTAATGGCTAATTAGAATAAATACTAGGTGGATCAATGGTTGCTGATGAATATGAACTGCACGTACGTGAATCTTCAGAAATAAAGAATAAATATGGTATGTTTGATTTTAATTAACTTTATTTGGATAAGCTTCTCTATAATGAAATGAAGACAGACCTGGAGCAACAGGTCCTTGTGTAGAACTAGCTGATGGAAACCATATATTTTGAGATTGAGCAACGACTGGTGCTGCTTGAATGAGATCTAATGTACGACCAGATTGATAAGTAGATGGAGTTTGTTGTAATTGTATAAATGGACGAGTTGCTTCCAGTCAATTATAAAGATAATTAATTGAAACAAAAAGAGATCAAATATACATACTTTCTGTAACATAATTAGGTGAATTATATCGAATTGATGAAGCACTAGGTATTTGTTCTTGTTGAAAAATTGATTGCCTTGGATATTGAACAGAAGAAGCAGCAGAAAGCATTTGTCCACTATTATGTATAACGGTATCGATTTTGTTGCTCAGATCATCAATTAGCATTTGTAATCGAACCATTGATCTGAAAACAAAATGAAGCAATATTTTAGAAAATTGAATTTTTAATATTTAAATGAAACCTACTTGGTCTTCTTATTGTAATAATCATTGATGTTCACCTGGAATAAATCACGATATTCATTTATTTGCATGGCAACGATGAAGAAATCGCTACGATTACGAAATTTACATACAATTTTAAAATGATTTATCTGATAAATAGTCAAATACTAAAACAAAAAGAAGAAATTTCTTTTTAATGAAATTGCACCATTACTTGTTGTTCTTCAAGTACTGTGAATCGTTTTATTGTCTTCATGATATATCGGAATATTACCATATACCGTTCCCTAGCGTTGAAAAACTTTGCTGCCGAAAATGTTTCTTTGAGTTGTGGATGATTGTCCATTTTAATTCTAAAATAGAAAATATTTTTCCCAGTATATATTTCTGATAATATCTTATTTAGATTAAAGACTATTAGTGATTAAAATGAATAGATAAACAATCACATTAGTCAGCATAACACATCTTTACAACTTGATCAGTTTTCATCTAGAATACATGAATATCATTATCCCAGGTCAATGATTCCGGAGGACGGATACTGTAGGAACCGGCCGGAAAGATGCGGAAAAATCACCGTATCTGGTCGGAAAGCATGGGAAAGCGCTGGAAACTGGAAGCAGTATTCCAGTTGGAAGTTACCGGATTTTTTTCCTGTGGATTCCGGTCAGTTTTCTGTGTTTTACATCTGGAAGTTGATCGGAATCTACAGGAAGAAAATCCGGTAACNGTAAGAAATGCAGTTATCTTGAAACTGGAATACTGCTTCCACTTTCCAGCGCTTTCCTGTGCTTTCCGGCCGTTTCCCGCCGTACGTCCACGACCTGGGATGTTGTCCATATCCATATATCAGAATTTCTACAATTTTCTGAAATCATATACTCACATATTCAGAAAAAAACTCTACACGAGGTGTAGTCTAAGTTGATGGACTTACCTTGTTTCATTAATGAAATAAATGTTTCTTGCATTCCAGTAGATAATGTTTGAGAATTGAAATCAGTACTTTCAACATAGATCATCGTTTGAACATTTGCATTATAAAGGCTAATAAATTTTGTTGCTTGACTACGATGAATATATTCAGCGTTTGTATTTCCACCGTCAGCCGCTGTTTTACTTGAAACACCTTTTATTTGATCACCAGTTATAGAGACGAAATTTGTTGACACTTCTTGAAAACCAGCAAAATGAAATGCAATTTCAATTTCATATTCTCCTTCATCAAGCAATTTAACAATTTCACGAGCTCTTTCTTCTGTTGAAAATTTAAATCGAAATATCATAACTAATGAATTTGGATGCACAGCATGATATGGTTCAACACCGAGAATAGGTGAACTACTGCCTTCCACAATATAAGCTGTCAACGAATCGATCATCAATGGTGCAATATCCGAATATTTTGAATACTCTGCTAGTTTTAAATCGTATTTTTTTTTCAATTGCTTTATGTGCCACTTCTTCAATCATAGAATCACCAAGTAACAATTTTACGCGCACTTCATTTTTCCATGACCATACCCAAGGTAAATTAGGTTCAGTCATTGGTGCCATTATTGGAACATAGTAGAAAATCCATTTATGAGGTGTAACAACTGCATTGGCATCATTAGCAAGCAGAGGTGTCCACAGGGCAGGACACAGGGCGAATTTTTAAAAAATTGATCCGCCCTGTACAGGGCAGGGCAGGGTTATACCTTCACGCCCTGCAAATTTTGCATATACTTACTTTAGTTCGAAAATAACAGCAATTTTATTCTTCTCGGGAACGTGAAAGAAACTAAAACTATCCAGATATCGCTATAGAAGGGTAAGTAGATTGTTATATTTGTGTTTGTATGATGACCCTATAAGGTCCAATCAAGTTTGTAAGAAAACAAAAGAAAATAATAAATTAATCATAATAGTGATAATAGTGCACATATATTTTAAATATAATTGTAATAGTTGTTGATGTTCTTATTATTTCAATAAAACTATGCATCGCTATCATCGTCGATAGATTCATGTGCTGATATTTCATCTATATCTCCTGGTGATGAAAATGAAGTTTCTATTCTCTCTTCGTTAAATATATCTCGCCTTGTCCAAATGTAATGCTGTGATATTTTGACAAATAGTTTTGCAATTATCTCGAAAGGTATAAGAGCTAATAAGGTCGTTCAAACGTCATTGGACGCAGCGTATCATAATCTATTAATGTTGAAAGAATGGTCTAGTTCGACTGAATTCTCACGCTTTTAGAAAGGTTTTATCATCGCGTAACACTGACAAAAAAGGACCCTTTTTTCTAGGTTTGCTTATAAAGCNATTTTATTATTTGATTAACTATTTTTCAAATAAAAAATATTACTTAAACTTGAATTTGAATATGAAAAAAAAATCTTCTTAATTAGCAGGGCAGGGCAATAAAATTGGCCCTGTGGACACCTCTGTTAGCAAGTGAGCTGTAAACATAGATTTGACTGCCATTATAATTGAACAATGTTAAAATATTTGTATTGACAACACTACGAGCAAAACTGGGGCTAGCAGCTAGTGTAGATATAGACTGTGTGCCAATTTCACTGTCTGGCAGCAAATTTAAAATGGTTGACATATTTTGCGAGTCATCTGCGTCCGGAGAAAGTGGTATCTGGAAGGTTAATACGAATATCAGTTTAGTCAACAGGAGAGAGAGAACCTATATTGTTCGTGCCATCTTCAAGTACTGCTGTTGGAAAAAAATAATATGCAATAAAAACAGTTATATATAGATAGATTGTTTGCCTACTATACCGTTTAGAGTGGAAAGGGCGAGGAAACAAAACAGTTAAACTTGAAAATATGTTTTCACTATTAAAGGTATCATTCAGAACGTCAAAAATATTTTTTCTTCTTACAGTTGACTTGAGTTAGACCAGAATCAGTCTACCGTCTGCACAATCACAAAATGTAAATGCAATGCGTCGTAAATTAACCCATGAAAAATTATGAGAAAGGAAGCAAATTAAGTAACATCTGATAGACTTGCCGATCTCCAATCCATCATGTACATTTGTATAATAATAGAAAAAGCTTGTCAATCGAATTTGAATCTGGAGGATGGGTGTGGCTTTCTCTTATGTTCCCCTTCACACACACACACACGAACACCCTAATTCTAAAGGTCCCCTAGATCCATCCATCCTTAAAATGGAGTCTATAGTTATATGCATATGAATAATTCTATAGACCTGGGGGGGGGGGGGGGGGGGGGGGGGGGGGGGGGGGGGGGGGGGG